TAAGGTCATCACCTTGAAGATTCTTTGAAATTGTATCATCTGTGACGAAAAAAATTTGGATCGGTCTACTAATAACGAATATAATTAAGGTGATTCACGTTAGGTGGTCCACCCTGTATATAGTTTAAGCGATCTGAACCGTTTACTATAAAACCCGTCAGTTCAGCTGCCCAGTTTCATTTCCTATTAAACATATTTCATTTAAAATTTTAAACCTACAGTCGTAACATTACTCATAAGATACGCGAGATTTCCCATTGAACGTAAACCTTTAACCAAACAGAACTCATCTCTTTTACATTTCATTTGTAAGCTTACTTTCGATACATAAAAGAAACGGAGTCCCGAAATGCTCAAATTTCCCGGTATCGTCGAAATCGTTAAAAATGTCCGACGTAACGAATTGCCGTCAATTTTTCCCCTTACTACTAGCTTCAACCTCGTTTACGCGTAAGCTGGCCACAGGAAAGGTTTGCACAAGAGCGGAGAACCAGTCGGTACACGGATAGACTGTGTAACGAGTACGTTCGATTACGAAAGCCGATCGTACTTTTTCATGGGTATCAAAGCGGGCGCGAGGGTGGAAAAGGCGGTAGATGGGAAGTGTGAGTGATCCGGAAGTCCGATGAAAGGCAGCGGAAAAAGCAGAAACCCGTCAATTACGGATACCGGCGTAATTACGAAGGTGACGGCCAGAGGAGCTTGTCTGTCACTTGGCATGGGAGAACGGGGCATGATTGGGTTTTTACGTGTGCCACCGTGACACGCGCCACGATTAATCCGGAATTTGTGCATCGAATTGCGAGCACCCTGCATCCGGGGAGAGAGGGTCTAATTGGGCTAACTTTTTGTGGGGACGCGTCACCGTTGACATTTCATTTCCTCTGTGGCCTCTGAGCGGGACGCGATTTTTCCAACACCAACCGAACTCACCTTCGCGGAATATTTAAATCGTGTTCCATCGGGCCGTTTGGATTTTTGAGAGGCGGTGCTTCACGTGTACAGGGTGTCTCAATTATTTCCGATCAAAATTTCCCAGCGTATTCTACGGGCGTAGACGAGGGAAGAATGTTATACGAACGTAGGTCGTTTGAAGCTTCGTTGCAAAGTTACAACGCTAATACCGGGAATTGGAAGGGAACGGTATAACGGGTGTGCAGTTACTACGATGCAAAATAGAAATAGATGAGCGATATGTTCATCTAGTTTGTTTATGCAAGCTGTATTTACGTTGTGTAACTTTTGCTAGTGTTATTCTTGTCTTGCATCATAGCAACCGCAAGCTCTTTAGTATTCTCTTTCTATTTCGTGATTTTGCTATAACTTTTTAACGAAGCTTCAAACGACCTATGTTTATATAAACATTTTTTCTTATTCATAGCTATAAAAGGCACTGACAAAGTTTGATTAGAAACAACCGGGACACCCGGTATATATTTTTGGGAACTGTTTCTATAGACAGCATGGTGCACAGACAGAGGATGCTTCGGTTGAGAAGATTTTTTGTACGATTAATGTGGCGCTTGTTTCCCTCGACACTGAAAGGTGTGTCAGCTTTTGAATTGAAGAAAAAGCTTCGCGTGGCGTGGATGAAAATTATTCGGAAAATATTTTTCGTCAAAGCATGAATGGAAACGAGTATTCTCTTACGCTTATTTGTCGGATTTCACGCGAGAGAGGACGCTTTTTCTCTGTCGTTAAGTGTGAAGTATTCCGTTTTATAAGCTCCAGACAAATTAGAGGAAAATAAGCGTCTATCTGTTCCTTATTGCGCGATAGCGAGGTGATTTTTCCGCGGCTTTTTCCTACCTGCAGAAGAAAGTGTATGTTTTTGTTACCTTCTAATTCAGTTCTCGTTTGTGCTTACCGACGAAAAAATATTTAATCCCCTTCGCGTGAAATTTTTTTTTTCCATTCTCAATTACAATTTTCCTCGCAATTATTAAAGAAGTGACACCTGCTTATCGATTCTTTACCTCGCGATATTTTTAAAGGCTCGAACGCTTTGTTAGAAGCTCACAGTTTGCGATGCAATTACCTACGACAATTGAAAAAATTCATCGCTCAGTTTCAGCTATTTTTAATTAAAAAAAGAACTTTCTCATTAATCATACCGGAATGACGCGATGAAATTGTAGTAAAATGTCGGAAAGCTCGCAAGTTCGTTAGAGAGACACGAGAGTGTTAAATTCTGACTTATCAAGAAAGAAGGAATTGCTCGAATATTTTTACCTGGAAATAGATATTCGTTTCGACGTACGCTTTGAGCACAGGTAGACCGACGAACGTGTGCTTCGACGTGAAAGTCATCGGATAGTGGACTGGATGGTTCCTCTTGCCGAATTTCCCGGTGACCCTGATGATCGGCGTTACACCTTGATGAGAAGCTTGATGATTCCCGGAGCTCCGTGCTATTTCCAAATATGGGTAGCCGTTAAACCAGATTTGTTGGAGCTGACCAACGAAGTGCGGAATTTCTTCTCCGGCGTGCAAATAACCACCGACATGGAGTGTACGAAATTCCAAAATGCTTTGCTTGCCGAGCTGCGTTTCAGCTGTCGAAAAGAACAAAAGGTTTTCCCGTGAATTAACTGGAAATTATAAACAGACTTTTAAATAATGTTCTATTTGAACATTTTGCAAATTTCTGTACACTTTCTTGCAGAAAGTTTACGCTGAATACGATCATTGTGACAGAGAGAAGTTTTTAAATTCGTCGCATAGAAAGTTTTAGAATTTTCTCAAAAGCGTGATAAAACGTACACGACTTTGACTGTGTCGAGAAAGATTTCTGAGCTAACTGGTCGTCACCTCGTAACTTAAATTCAACTCGCTAATCCTGTTAATTACAGCCAACTGTAAGAACAATACAGTGGAAAATCAACGGATACTACACGCTAGGAACAATTTCAAATCATTTTAAAACAACATAACACAGATATTTTATGCTGTCAGGAAGTTAATTTCAAGAAACACGATCGTCCATCGTTAACCCCTTAACCTATGATTTCTTTTCTGACCGTGCATCTAAGCGTCAGCCATTTGCTATTTTAGTACTGTATCAGGTAACGAAAAACTAATCTGTTACAGGTTAATTACATTTAGTAATCCTCAGTTTTACGAATTCATACGAAAGTTAGGATTACAATGAATTTTTCTTACTAATATAACTATCTTTCTCACATTTTGACCAGAATCTCTGCCACGAGTCTGACACGTTGTTACAGGTTAAGGGGTTAAAATACTGCAGTACATTTAAAAAAAAAAAAAGAAACAGGAAGTGACAGCTACGCAAATGGAGAACTGTTCTAACTTTTTAACGAAGTTTCCAACGATACAACAATTTGTTCCTTACTCATACCCGCAGAGCATACCGACAAAGTTTGATCGAAAAAAACTGGGACACCCTGCATATTTTAAATTTCTCACATTACAATGCAACTTGGTTGTTTCATAAAATACTTCATATGCAAAAATTTTCTCACGATCGTACCTTCTTGCCAGAGTTTCTCCTTTTTATTTGTTTACTCGTGTCGCATCAGCTGCTGAACACAGTAGACACAATACAGCGTGCGTGAAAAACGCGTTCTCTCTTTTCAGCATTTAGCAGCGAACCGTTTTCCAGAGTTTTTGAAACGTCGAGCGTGTCGAATTAAAACGAAACTAAATAGATTCACACAAAGTCGTTAATAAGAAACCAACCCCTCGTAGAGAGATAAGTGTTCTCGTGAAAGTCGAACGAAACTCTGGTCGGAAGTTACACAGAAACTATTTTAATTATTACCCGGCCGCGAGATTGTCCATTGTCCATTATCCTGGGACAATGAAACTTCAATATCGGCGCATTGTTCTTTGCGACCATCTTACCGGACCGGCACCATTAAACTTAATTGTCCCCCGGGCACAATGCATCCGAATTTTGCGTTAAATGAGGAACACAACGTAAGTATCGACAGCCGTTGCTAATAAACGTGCCAAGTTGCCATCACCCGCGCTCTATCTTGAACAAGCGTACGCGTGAATCTCTGTTCGCCCATCCCTGAGCGGGGGCTCTACGCGCGCTCTGATTGGCCAGTGTTTTTCGTTAATAATTTAAAAGCGAAGCCAACATTTTGGTAAAGGAAAAAGTTGTTCAGAGTCACTCCAGCAACCCCCCATTTCCGGGTGTTACACTCTTTACGGGACACCCTGTATGTAATGAATCAACTATGCAAAAATAACTTTAAAAATCTAAATTTGCTCCGTTTAGCTGGCAGTCCCACCAGAGAAATGTGCCGATCGCAAAGGGTTAATACTTTTTTTTAGAAAGAATTAATAGAATACTGTAGATTTGAATAGAATTCAACGAAGTTCAGTAGATTACAACAGATTTCAGTAGATTTCCATAGGCCTCAAAAGATTTTCATAAATATTAGTAGAATACGGTAGACTTTAATAGAATTCGGCAGATTTTAGTAGATTTTGATAGATCTCAGTAGAATTCAGTAGGTTTCCGTAGGTTTCAAAAGAATTTCATCGAACATTAATAGAATCCAGTAAATTTTCATAGAATTCATCAAATTCCAGAGGATTCCTATAGACTTCAGCACTAGAATTTCACTAGAATTTCTAATATCATTAACAATTTCCTAATCCTACACATAAAATGAAGCTTCACTCTCATCTCCAATTAGAACCCCAAAAAGGGAAAGCCAACAAAACAACACTCGTTCAAAGAACTGAACAACATCGACATTTCCCTTCGATCGTCTTCCTCATTTTCCAAAACAGACACGCTCCAACGACGTGCACAGATAATCACGCTCGACTCCATAAATCATCCACCATTGTATTCTTTCATTTGCATAATTACACCAGCGCGAGGCGTGAATATCTTCGTCCGCGAAGTTGAATCCCTCCACTTTCACAGTTCCGCCTTGATGGGACAGCGAATTGTATTTCCCGCGTAATTTGCAAGTTGTTTCAGTTTCGATTCGATCAAACGATAAGCATTCTCCGAGTTATAATCAAATTCTCGCCCCCACACTCTCCCTTCTCTCGCCACGGGGCTGAAATTATGGATGTGTGTAACTCGGTCCAATCGGCCAGAGCTCGGGCGGCGAAATTTGCCAGCGGCGCGTGTAAGTTTCGCGCACCATCGCAAAACTTCGTCAAACGTTGCTGCGAAATTGCGGAAATCGTGATTAGACAGCGTGCAAACGGGTGTATGCACATAGATTCCTACGTACATCTTCGAAAGAAACTCTTCCCCGGTCAGAGACTCGAGCGCGCGCGCGGTTCGACGAATTCCAAGGATCGTTGTTTGATGTCAATTTACGATTCAATTAAACGACAGTTCGATCGGTCGGAGATCGGCCCATAGTCTCAGTATCGGTCATTAGTCAAGGGGACCCTTAACAGATCACAATCAGCCGCCTGGTGCAGTAATTTCGATCATGAGCTACGCCCTGTTTACCATTCGTCAACACGCGTGTATACGTACAGGGTGCATCGCGATTAACGCAATAAACTTCGCTAGAGCGCTGTGGAGTAGTTTATTTATGGGGTTAGAGACCAACTTTGAGGTTTCAAGAAATCGATTTTTTTTTTTACTTAAAATGGATACAGTGGGTGATCAAATTATTGGGGGCACAATACGGAAAATATGCTTTTTGTGTCTGTGCAGGAATAAAATCACAATATCAAGGTTTTCACGCTTGTCGTTCACTAAAGATACACGAAACAGTTAACCCTTTACACTCGGAGGTGATTTTGCTGTAGGAAAGATTGCACTTATTTTTTAAAACTAACGCAGAAATAAATTATGCGATTTTATTTAAATATTCAATGCATTCTCTGTTTCACTATGGTGAAGAAATTCATGGAGGCCCGTAGATCTGCTGTTTGTCCTGATTTATTGTTTACCAAGTGACAATTAATGTCGCTTCTCAGTCGCCACTCGATTGCGAAGGGTTAAACACTTAGCTTATGTAGTTATAAAAATGTGGTTAAGAAGTGACGATAAAGTCAGTACTTGGTAGCGCTACCTTTTGCTGCAATTGCTGTATTAATTCTTTTTTCGATACATTTTAATTTACTATGCATTGTAAGGAGTAAAAATACAGCAACAAAAATTAACATGCTCAGGATCTATAGATCAACGAAACTGTAACGCGTGGTTCTCAATGATGAGCGGATGAGCGGATAATATTGCCTAAAGTGTTGCCAAGTGCGTATTTGCAATTTGTAAAGATCAAAGCTTCGTAAAAGAAAATAATAAGGATTCAGTATAACCGGGTTATCATCTGAAAATTAATCGTTATAACGTGAAACCGTCAATTTCTTACGGGTGGTTCTAATAATTTAAAAATATAATCCGAACAGTCGTCGAATTTCTAAACGATTAAAAATTCTTTTAAACTTTCCATCTGAAACGCTTTGCGAAGTTTCGAAAAATTTCCGATTGAAAATCTGTAAATGATAATTACGCTGATATTTTATTTAATTTTTTTAAATATGTTTTTGTCAAGTTAATTAAGTTGTCTGTAATCGTTCAAGAACCTTCCTTAATGGTGGAAGGTAATCCTTTCAAAATTTTTGTATCGCGTTAATAGGACTTCTAGTACCGGTAAAAAGAAATTTAAAAATGATTTTATCACCGTAGCTTTTCAGAATGACAGCTTTCTCGAAGGAAAAGTTTATTTGTTGAACACTTTTTCTTGTTCTCCCGTAATCGTATTTTCCAGTTATCTTGGAAGCTATTAAACTTCTTCAGCCAAAGCCGAAGTAATCCCAACCGTTCAAAACTGAAATTATCCTTTAAGATAAACCGGAATTCGTATCTCAGTTAACGAAGTGATCTGCGGCTTTCAAAGAACGTTGACTGGAAGTTTTAGCAGGTACGTATACGTATATCGTTCCAGAAATCTCGAAGACCGAGATCTGTCTACGGACATTATTAATTAAATGCATTCCACACATTTCGAATATAGCATTTTGATCTTTTCCAAGCTGGCTTTTAAGCAAGTTGATCTTCACAGAAGTAATAAATTACATTGTACGCGATCTTTAGAATCATGAGTTTTCCATGCTTCTTAATTGAAAATTTGTATCATAGTTTTTGTAAGTTTTAGCAAGTTTTGCATTCTGTAGAATTAAAAATATAGAAATCAACATTGCTTAATATATTACGTAAATCATTATTTTTGTGGAATAAACTAATTCATGTACTAAGAATGACAGTGGAAAATTTTCATTTCTTGGAATGTAAAAAAACCGAATTCTCTAAAAAAAACCACCTCCACCCTCTCAATAGCCAATCAAAGTCCTGATACCCACAGAGCAGAACGCTTTCCACCGATATTATATCGTCCATTTTGTGCCAAAGCCACGAATGTGCAAAGTTTCACTTTTTGGGTAACGAAGTGGGCTAAATATGACCAACAGAGGAGGGGATAATTAAAAATTATTTCATAGTCAAATTCAAGTGCGAAGCTAAATTTGCAAGAAAATTTCGAATATTTTGATCTCCAGAATTATTTGATTACATTCTGCATTTAATTGTGAATTTCCATAA